AAAAATAAAATTACACTTTATCTTGTTAACAAATCAAACTCTTGTTCACACACCAACAACAATAAACATATAAGTTAAAATAAGTAATAATACTAGACAACATACAACCGCAACAAAAGTGTATAGCAATTGCATTATTAACTATAATAGCTAAAACTCACAATACTTCTTTATATATATATTGTGCTATTTAATATGAGCTCAATGTACATGTTTCTAATTAATAATTAAAGTTTTAAGCAATTTAACAGTGGCCTACACAAACAATTTTGTTTACTCTTTTGTTTTTGTTATTGCCTCAATACGTATACAACAACAATAATAATAAAATTGCTACTCAAACATTTATTGTCGTTATTAAATTTATTATCAGCAAGTAGCAATTTACAGCAATATGAACACACAATTTAAGCAAATAATGCTCAACACGACAGTCTGTACGACAATGCGCAATATAACTCTCCACACCCCTCCCCCGCCCTCCTAACCCATACAATGGTTGCGCACTCTAGCGCTGTCATTGTCTCTTATGTGTTATACATTTCATGCACTTTTTCATCAATTTAACGACCAACATCAAGCATCGCTGAGTTTCAAGCAAAAGTTGTTGTTGTTGTTTTTGTTTTTTAGTTTTTACTTTGATTTTAATTTTTTCGCCTTGCATATTTAAACAAAACTTCAACCGAACCCAAAACCTCAAACCAAAAAACAAAAAAAAAAACACAACAAAACCAAAAACAAAATAAAAAAACTAAAAACCAAAGCAAACCGTCCTTCCGTTAAATTTTTGTCAACATAGCGTAGCAATATGGCGGCTACCAACATGGCGTTAGTTTATCCACATTCATCTGCACGCGAATCCATTAGGAAAGCACCCATACGAACCGAGCAAGTGCATTTAAAATGCTCACAGTCATTTGCTTCAACAACAACAACAACGACGACGACGACAATGCGTTGAAGCTTCAGCGTTGCAAGTGTATGTGTGTGTGTTGATGGTGTGCGTGCATAAATGCGCATTTGTGTGCAATTAAGTGCGATTATTTCCGCCGCAATCAAACTCGTAAATAAATAATTATGCGCGCACTCTCACAATTTGCACAATTAAATTTCTTTTTTTTTTGTTATTTTTTATGATTTTCACAAAGAACTTATCGTGATATTTTTTCCAATTTTATGTCACATTTATTTTTCATTTGGCGTTGCCAGTACGTTTACTTCAGTTATCGCCAAATGCAAATGGAGTTTCGTACGTTTCGTCGTCGTTGCACATAAAACAATTAAATTCAAATCAATTTTAAATGCTCACAAATCTTTTGCAATTAATTATCACCATTTCCACTGACTCCACTCATTCAACGTCCCGGGGGATCCAGCTGCCTACGCTTTATTTGTATAATAGTTGGATTGCCTTTACTCCACACACAACAAAAAGTTTTTCCGGTCATTCATTCATTCATACCTTTTGGTTGAGGTTGTGGTTGTCTCTGTTTTTGTTTTTGTTCTCATATTTATTCATATGAATTCGTTAATTGTAGTCAATTGCATTGAAATAAATTTAATTTTTGAATTCATTTACTATGATTTGACAAATGATTTATTATTAGTTAGTCGCGCATTATTGTTATAAATTTTATTGTTTAACACTTATGCCTGTCAAATTGCAATAAAATTTATTTAACCGGCAAATTTGTAGCGTGCCGAAAATCTATCCAATTAAAACGTTTATGAAATTGTGAAACTTTATAGTTTACTTCACTAACCACAGATTTATTTTCACAAAATTTTAAAAAAACTACATTTTTTCAAAAATAATAATATTAATTTGTAATTTATTAATATAGAAGGTTGAATACTGACATTCTAGTCTAAATACGTACCAACGTTATTCTTGTGGTACCACAGCGCGCCATTATTTGAGCTCAATTGTGCTTTCTTGGTGTATAAGACTGACACTCCAACCTAACCTAACCTAACCTAACCTAACCTGTAATTTTTGCTTTACCACAAGCCTTTCTTTAAGGTAATAAAGTTAACATAGAGACTGGGTTCATTTGTGAATTACGATTAAATTAATTAACCGAAAAATGTGGTATATTTTAAACAAAATTAATAGAATTTTGTAGTTATGATTAAGTTGCATTATATTTATCCCATAACACATCGACTAATAAGAAATGAACTTTTTTTCTCTAATATTTTAATGTCTCTCTTGTAATATAATTCATTTTTCGCCTAAAACAAATGCCTCAGTTTTGGCGATTGACTTTTCTATCTTTCCATGGAGCCTGCGAACAGTTAGTAATCGTAAGGGATCAAATCTGGCAAATATAGTTGGTGCGAAAGCAAACGGAAGTGTAATTAGGGCAATTTGGCGATTGTAGCCAATATTCTTCAGACACGTCACATTATCTTGGTGAAAGTGCACTTTTCCTTGTTCATATGAGGGCATTGCTTAGGGATTTCCTCTTTTAAATGCACTACTTGAACATTGCAGCAATCTGATCATGTAGATACTGACGCTCTGGCATTTTTTAAGAAAGTTGATAAACAAAATTTCCCGCAAATTACAAAATATAAACGCCATAACCATTTCAGTGGTCTGTTGCGTTTATGACCGATTTGGGCGCGATTCGTTTGTTACAGAAAACAATCAGAATAACTTTATTTCTGAATGCGATTTATGTCGTTTTTTGCATTTCTGAATAACTATTCGAAATTTAAAAAAAAAAATGTTTGGTTCAACAATTTATAGAATATAGGTACTTTAACTTATAAATTTATAATTAATATAAATTTATAATTATTATAAATTTAAAACTATAACTAATATGTTATTAATTTTTAATATGTTTAACGTTTTAAACTCACCCATAAGCGGACATAGGGTCGTATGAATAATATCCAGTTGTGGGCTGCAATCCAGCTGATGTCCAAGCAGTCATTTCTGTGCCGGTAGCAGAATCTTTCAAAGCATAAGGATTACTCTGTAAATATAAATATATAGTACTCTAAATTAAATGTATTTTTGAAAGTAGAATATGAATTATGCACTAGTTATTGTCATGTATATTGACTTTTTGGTAAAAAAAGCATTAAAAAATTGTTTATGATAGTTTTATGATAGTTTTTTTAGTCTGTTTTATTAACTATAGGCTGATAGAATATATCAATTGAAATTTAGTTTTAATTTTATGAATTCTGAATTCTTATTCAAAAACTTGCAACTTGTATTTATTTTTAAATTTATAATATTATATTTTTAATTCTTTATTAGAAATATTTCACATATATACCAATCCGATGTCTCCGAAAATCCGAAAATCAGATAGTTCATTTCAGCTAAACAAGGATTATAAATACAATATATAGTATTATCATTATACCAAGTAAACATTTTTTTGCATTGCGAACTTAATGTGGTTATTTTAGTTATTCGGAATAGGAATTTTTTTTGTTTGGCAATATAACATATTACTATATATTTTCGAAAGAATTTCTGTGCATTCTTTCAATTTTTTCAAATATTATTATTAATATTAAGTTTAATTATTATTCTTAAAAGAGATACACCGTAATCGTTGAGGTCTAATATTCAATGCCTGATTACCTTATCAGACATAGTATTATCTAAGCAAACCTTGGTTAAAAAATGTCTCTTAGACTTTATGTCTCATCGGCTGAATGATGATGGTAATGAATAATTTTACTGACAATAGCAAGATACAAATAGAGAAGACCATATTTTTTATATTTTACTCTGCATTTTATAGAATTCGCAGATATCAATTTTTTTTTTATTTTATATTTAAAAAATGTTTTCTAAAAATAGTGTGTTTAGATCTTTTTGGATGAAGAAACCTCTCCATTTTTTTGTTATTGATCTAAATACGCCTAACGTCTACAGTCAGATGCAGACTAATAGTTGGATATACTAAAAGCTCGGATCCTATGGTATTGCGTATAGTAAAATTAATTCAATGAAGCTCCAACTTTTTAGTTTAAAACTTTTTAAAATGTATTTACCATTTAAAAACCATAAAGATATAGAAGAAAGCAAATTTTGCATTCTAATTAAAATTATTTTTAAAAAATTTAAAAAATCGAACTTATGCAAATTTAAATGAATAAAATACGGAATATTTCAATTCCAGCATTTATTCAACTAAACAAATGTTTTGTTTATTTTGCATAAAAATAAAGCAACTTATTTCGGTTAAAATTGTCATAAATTTATCAACTCAAAATTGAATTAAAAATAAAAACTCGCCAAAAACTTGTTGACAACAAAAGCAAAATTTAGACTCGTAAATTCGGCATATGCCTCTATTAAAACCAAACTAAATATTTTCCCACAGTTCAAAATTTATAAAAATAAATAAAAAATTAAATAAAACTAATATGAATATGATTTTGTTAACAAGTTATTTATTTTATTGGCAGCAAATTTTTTTGAATAAAATAAACAGGCTAAATATATATCGGTTTTTGATTCAAAATATATAAGTATAGATAGTATAGAGTATAGGTAGACATATACCACATATATCGAGTATGCGTGATTATGCATTATAAATCCATTCCATATAAAAACCTGCCACAGTGCTTTGTTTATGATATTACTTTTAATTGAATTTATATTTTGGCTTAATTTAATTTATCTCGCTTTTGGTAACATACCACAAAATGTTAACAAGTTTTTTTTTTTAACTTTTGGTAATTCTCTTTTATTATAAAATTTATTAGTTTAAAAACTGCCATAAATTTACAGTAGTACAACTTCATACGTTTAGCCAAATAAGCATCTATTCTCAATGTATCTGTCTATTGGTGGCCGAAAATCTGAATAAGTATCTGAATTTCACGTTCAGCCAAACTGAAAAGCGGTGTGGGCAGTGGCTTAGCTTATAAATTTTCAATACTTCATTTTAATGGTGACTTTGAGTTTTCATGATTTATTTAAAATAATTAACATTTTTAATTACTTTAACATGTTGTTAGTGTTTGTTTTTATTAATTCTAAAAATCACCTTCATTTTGTGTAGCAGAAAAAAGCGGTAAAAACATATATCAAAATGGCCGAATATGCCCGGCACTATTTTTGGACTGTTCGTTTATTTGTATGGCTTTTTTTGTATTGATTTTTTTTAACTTATTATAATTAGTTTTTTTATCACAGTTTTTGTAAATATTTTGAATTTAAATATAATCTTCAGCAATTTGTTCGATTGAGTTGCTTGTCGGGGGTTAAACATTTAGTAATTGCAAAAGTAAAATAAAATTAAATAAAACATATATGCGAATTGGATTTCATTTAATATATAGATTTTTATATCAATATATTGCTTGGTTCTTGGCTTTGGATATGAACTACAACATCTTTTAAATATTTTTTCCAAGATACCACACAGTACTGAACACTTTTGGGATAATTTTCTACAAAATATTGGCACACTACTAGCAATAACTCCACCATAAATTGACGAATGTTTCACAACGTTAACAGTTTGTGGATTTTACGATTAAATACAATACTTTGTGTAACACCACAAAAAAAGTTAAGTAGATTGGTTGATTTTGGTAACATCACCAAAGCATGCAATTACACATCCGAGAAATTTGTTATAGCATATATAATAGCCAGAAAAGGATATATTGTTTAGCTTAAGATTTTTATTTTCTTGCTAAAAAAATTCAAGTAATAGGTGTAATGATTGACGGTTTATGCCACACATATATCATTTGCAAAAACCTACTTGTGATAGCCCCATATCTCGAGACCAAATACCCCATCTCACACTGAAAACTTTTTTTGCTGGCACATCTATCAGGTAAATAATAGATGTTATAACTCTTAATGTTATAATATAATGTCAAAAACCGTCTCAGTATTTAAAATAAATTGTCATAAATTTAACACATTCAGCAGTTCTTAAGCGAACTATATTTCAATGTGGAAAATCTTTGACTGAATTTATAATGCTTTGGATGACATTTTAATAAAAAAAATCGTCTAAAAATTACCTACAAATAATTATATATTATAAATAATTGTAAAAGACCACTGATGATTTGTATTAGTCGAAACAGTACTCGAAACAGATTTACAATCACCGAAAAATTAAATTTATTAAAATATAAATTCAAATGCTTTTCCACTATTCACAAACATTTGAAATAGAACGCTTTTGTGATAAAAGATTTAAAAGCTAAAACTGAAGAATCTCTATGAACGTCCTAGGAAACTCAATTTACCCTTCTAACTATCCTGAATATAAATGACCTGTTCATCAGTTTTCGAAAGATACAGAAACACTTAGCTTTTCCAGTGATTCAAATCTAGCATCTCAAAACCTCTCATCATACCTCCGATTATCACCTCGAAAAATTAACTTGAAATAATGAAAAAATATTAAGGAATAAATAACACTTTTTTATAGCCTGTTGTCTTCGGAAATTTTCTCTTCAGTTAAAGTAAATAAAATATTATTATTAGGCAATCTTAGGGAGGAAAATACTTAGGTAATTTATTGGAACAGTATTTCTTAAAATTATTAGATTTATGAAAAATTAACTTGAGATAACGGTGAAAAATCAGGGAATAAAAAAAGTATTTTCATAACATCCTATCGTTGGTGATTTACACTCTAGTTAAAATAAATAATATTATTACTTCATAATATAAGGGAAAAAAATAACCCAAATATTCATATAGTATTCATATATTTACCATATAAGTACTTCTGAACCCAAAATGATAAACAAAAAATAGTTAATGTTTTTTTAAAAGTACCAGCAAAATGTTGGGGTTTGGCGAGTTCCGGACCAAAAAGCCCTGATCAAGAGAGCTGACTGATATAAAAAAAAACACATTGACAGTAAGAAAACTTAAGAAGAGTTGACTTGGTAATAACTTTTCTGACTTTAAAATTGTAACTCAACACTAAGGCTTAACCACAATGTTTTACATATCTACATAGTTCGGTACACAAGATCTAGAACGGTTTGCATAATATGTTATGCAACCATTAAACCGTTCTGGATCTACGGTATTGTGACATGTAGCCTTGTTTGGGTATCATACGCTGATGAAATTCATAGACTATAAAACAAAACTTTTCTATTGGAACGCATATCAAGGTTAAACATCATCAAAGGACTTTCTTGAGCCAGCAAGGAAAGATAAATATATAATATATAATGACCATATAAATCTACAAGTAATGCCATAAGTAATGTCAAAAAAAAATTTAATTACATTGCATATTTATTTAATTATAATATAAAATAAATTAACCTTTAAAGCCTCTTAAAATCAGAACACCACAAATTATCTTACATTATTATTATTACTTATGTGTATCAACATTTTGCTTCCATTTGCTTCGCCTCTATTATAAAATTTTTGTACTCATTTTGAATGCACATGTGTTAAAATTTGTTTATCATTCGCTCAACCGTCTTTTGCAGCTGCCTACCTTTACATGTATTGCTCATGTTTGGGTAAATTTCTCTGTTATTATTTTATTGAACTTGAATGAACAGTATTAAGGTAATTTTAGCTTTATTCTGCTTCCACCAATTGCCCCTACTTCAACTTTCCTTCTTCATATAAACTTAAACTTTGTTTTGACATGATTGGCAAAATATCATCGAAAAGTACTTGCAATGCCATTGTTTGTTATGGTTGTTGTTGTTCATGTCTTTAGTTTTTGGTTTTTTTATTTTTTTTTTGTTTTAATACAAAAATACGTGTGAACAAACTTGCATACGTACATGTTCGCATAGATGTCAGGTATGTAATTTAATGTACATACGTATATTAAATGTTAACTTATGTGTGTAGTCACAATTAAGGCCAGAGGCCATTACATACGATTTTGTTTTTGCTTTTGCTTTTATTTTATTGTACAAAATATCGAATTTCAACGTTAGAAACATGATGGGATGTTATGAACAGGCGCGCACGCTGCATGCATAAGCATAT